TAGACTCTTAGTTTACGATCCGTAAATAGACTATGTCGACTCGTAAACGCATTTTTTCGACTAGAACATGAGGCATGGAAACTAGCATGTGTCTAAGGCGTAAGCAGCTGTATCCCCAAACAGACTGTGTCCATTTGTAAATGTGCCAAGTAAATCTTGTCGATCCGTACCATTGGTATCCAATGAACTGTTCGTTTACGATCCGTAAACAGACTGTGTCGATTCGTAAATATAGGGAAGATGTGTCAAGGATAGGCCTCTGATAAGCTTGTCGATCCGTACCATTGGTATCGAATGGACTGTTCGTTTACAATCCGTAAACAGGATGTGTCGATTCGTAAATAGGGAAGAGCGCCGAACTTATATTGCTTCCCGTTATAAAGTGCGAATCAAACAAGGACACATATTTGTGTCAAGATGATGAAACATAAATTTCGCCATTAAAATTAATTTCTTCATGCCGTTGTTCTACACATTCCATCACGTAGCCCATATCATAAATTTATATATATTCGATATTCGTGATGCTTGTGTTATACGCTATAGAGGACATTCATGCAAGATATTACTATGTTTCACAATTTATCCAGGAGAAATAAAAACGCATACCTGAAAATTTTCTGCGGTCGAATATAGGTTCACCAGTTCTTCAAGTAACCTTCTTCAAGATTGAAGTTGAAATGAATCATATGAATGAATCGAACATTGATATATATATATATATATATATATATATATATATATATATATATATATATATATATATATATATATATATATATATATATGTGTATGACGATGTATCACGATGAATGACGATATATATGTACGACGATGTATGACGATATATAACGATGTACGACGATGTATGACGATATGCTTGAATGATTTCTTCGGTTATTATTAGCATGATGAAATTTACTGGTCGAGTGAAGTATTTACTGGTCGAGTGAAGTATAGTTATTTCATGAACTACGTAACGCGCAGTACAATTATTCCAAAAATAAAATATAGCGGAAGTTATTCGCATCAAACTGAACAGTCCTCAATGAACTAAAGATAACCAGAAGTTAAGGCAATGAAACTTTTATCATACTATGATAATGAACGTCAAGTACTCATTGGATATTGTTCGTACACGCAGTTATATATTTGATTTACAATACACCTAATGTTTAAAATTTTTCCTAGTTGGACCGGCGACTCTTCAGATTTTGCCAAAATTTTATTATATAATTAGTTAAATTATATTATAATTAGTTTATATGAATATAATTAGTTTAATTATATTATAATTAATTAGTATTAGCCCGAGTTGCACTCGTCATCGTATGGTATGACTAATTACATTTCAGCCACATCCTGTAGAAACACCTATATAATTAAGCATAAAGGTTTTTCAGCTCCTATTTACGTAGGATAATTATCGTTTTCGATAATACATTTAAAATTATATTAACGCTTTTCTGCCATCTGTTTCGCTACGAGAGCGGGCCGTATTAAGCCGGTTTTCCACTAGCGTTAATTTCCGCGCGAAGCGACATTTTACTTTTGTTTCAGAGCCCTCAACTGCAACCATCTGGAACAAATTGCTCAAATACAAAAGAATAAAATCGCTTCGCGCGAAAAATATCGGCTTTACGTATAATTAGGCCGTATGGGCCGCGCGAAGTTTAAATCCCCAGCGACAGCAATTAATTGGAATTAATTTCACCAAACAGTATACAGTAGAGATTCTGCTATGCAGTGTGTATTAAGGTTAATTGTGTAAAAATTGATGCTTGAACGGCTGCACTTACAGGCATTAAGTTATAGCTACGGGAAATTTAAAACAACATGCACCGCACTTGCAAAGCTTAGCAAGGTTACTGTTTGGTAAATCTGGCTAGGTACGTGTACTTATATATGCATGAGTTCAAACGAACTTGAATTTGCTTTTCTTTCATTAGCATGTATGGAACGAAAACATTTAACTCAATAAAAGTTTTATTTATCTTTGTATAAAAATAAGCTGAATAATCGAGTAAATTACGTACATATACTGTATATATGAACACATTTTATGTTGTTATTTTAGGATATATATTCCATATAATTAATGTAATAAAACAAGAACTATGTACTGCAGGGACTTTTTAAGGGGTATCAGCAGTGACGTAGCCAGCTTGACGATTTTGTCCCGCTATGTAAATTTCGTGTTATTATAATTATTCATTTCTTTAAAAATTCATTGTTTTAACAGTCAATAAACACCAAAATATTAGCATAGCGGGACAAATCGTCAGGCTGGCTACGCTACTGGGTATAAGCTATGAGCTGCACGGCCTGCACCGAACATAGCGATTCGCATTTAGTTAACACCTGAATATTTTCTAAGATTAAATGTATGTAATATAGATTCAACAGCAGCTTAGTCTTCCCTCTTGGAAGGTTATATTTCATCAAGATTAATCAACGTACTGATGGACATCCGGTCTATGAAATTTATCCCGAATGCGATTGCTGCAGATATTGAGAGGTTTAAACCGCTTCAGGCAGAGCAGCACAGTTTTATTGATCAAGTCAATCTTGTCTGAAAATCTTGCGTTAAATTAGGCGTCGTTAACCAATTAAAAATGATTCATTATATCGTTGATTACAAAATGGAGGAGGACATTAGGACACCGCGAATGCGCTCTGGTAGGCAAATTTTAGCTGTCTGAAGCTAATAAAAGTGGCAAAGCTTCGAATTGTCTGCGAAATAGAGTTATAAAACGAGCTTGATTGTTATTGATGGTACAAGCTACTTCATGAAGAACACTGCATGCACGCGAAGAAAGTGCCGGATTTAGCTGTAAGGATCTACCTATGTAAATGTAATATGATCCACGAGTTTTGTGATTTGCTTTTCGTAACAATAGTAAACAGTGATGATCACCCAAAACGAAACGTTCGTAAAGCCAAGTACAGAACTGTTCCGTGTATAAGTCTTAATTCTGGTTTTAAATTTCAAATTCAAATGACGCTGTTGGTAACAACGCTATTGGTTATTCATTTGTAAAGAATATTTTCATATAAAAATTCAGTAATTTTAACATGATAGCAAATTAGATAGTACTTTATTCTAAATTGAATTGAGATGAAGCAGTTGCTGCATGCATGAAGCTATTTCCAACAGCAAATGTGAAGGAGGAAGTGCGTTTTATGACTGAAGTGCATGCGTAAGTTTGTATGATATGAACGTGAGTTTGTGACGTGGTTCCTTCTAGTCGTACACAATATAGAATAATATCGCGACACATTGTCAAAACTGTATCCGAACTAGTTAATATCATCTCATGAATAATGATCATCTCATGATTTTAAACCCATGATTTCCATCATGGGTTTAAAAGAATTTATTTTGCTATTTTTTCATAAGGCATGATTTCACTCAAAAGCTTGATCTATCTCTGTAGAATTTAAATGTGTTTCTTTTGTATTATGTTAACCTCATTGTTACATATATTTAACCATGGAGTAACCCTCATATGTAATAACACAATTAGCTAAATGATGGTGGTGCTTGTTTCTACACAGCGAGTTATAGCTATATTAGCGCACTGAACTTATATTGGTTTAATTCTAACTGTATATAGTTATGCAGGTGATTTAGAAATTTTACAAGAAATGACGTCATAACAACGAAATGAGAATTGGAAACATGGGATAAGACGAAACGTATGCATGTATGCATTAGAAATTGCGTCCTAAAAGATTTCGACAACTGAGGGTTTTAAAAACGTATCGATTTTATATAATGATGATAATGAACATAAAATAATAATGGGATCAGGAACATTGTTCATATATGAAGTTATGAATTTACAGTAGTCGTAATCATTAAACATTTTGGAAATATTAACTCGAGTTGTACTCGCCATGTCGTGACTATCTATGCTAATTACATTTCATCCACGTCCTGTAGAGACACCAAACACTATGGTATAGGAAGCATACAGGCTTATCAGCTCCTCCTACTCACGTAATGAATAAATTATTTATCCCTCGTGATATTGGTCTTTCCGTTTATCACAATTTTCCCTGAAGGAAATTTAACTTAATTTAATTTTAAAAAAATTCTAATGGAAAGTTTCTCAGGTTTTGGTTATAAGATGTTCATACGCTCCAATTTTGTCGAATCCAGTTCACTTGTGATGTACGTCCAATTTTGGCAAAATTTTCAAACACCACTCGATCGTAGTATTAAGTCCAGTTGTACTCGCCATTGCATGACTACCTATGCTAATTACATTTCATCGAAGTCTTGTTGAGTCACGAAACATATCGTATACAACGTAATGAATAAATGATGTCTTTCACCCGCAGTCTTTCGTTTATCACAATTTTTAGGTCATATATTGTCTGTTCACACGACCCAAAAATTGTCGTTTTTCATATAGTCTTTTGACTTGCAATGTACGCGGGTAGCAAATTAATCAGAACCAATGCAGTACTGCTATATAACCGACTATACATTTGATTTGGACTCGACAAAACTCATTTATTGACTATCATCTCATCTATTGTCTGAATTCCATTCGACTTGAACAAAATGCGACGTATTACCCATATGTCTCCGTAAATTGTGTTTTGAAAATTTTACTTGTTTTTAACGTGCTCAGGCTATACATTGTGTTGAAAATCTTTCAGTGCAAATCCATTTTTTTGTGAATATAAAAAAACAGTAGCAGTTGAAGTTTGTTAAGTTATTGTAGCATTATTAGTGAAAATGTGAATATAATTAATACTCCAATATCGTTTCCGACAATTAAACTGATGATTTCACATTGTGTATTAACAAATCCACAACCTCCTAATCGATGCATTGCAGCGCAAGTCAGCGCCCGTAAGGATCAACACAATTCTGCAAGGCGTCGCGATTATTTGAACTTACATGGCGAATAACTTTAGTCCAGATCCCGGCAAGACTCCGATTCACCTAACTGTTACACAAATCCTTTCCAAAGAAATCTTTATTTTTACCGTTTTACCGTTTTCTTATAGAACATAGTTTGATCAAGAAATCACTATTTATTTAACCCAGATAATTACCAACCATTATTATGATATTTGCTATGCAGTTTTTCTATAATATCGTTTATTTTTAGTAAATCCGTGTAATTAACATCTCCCTCCCAGTTTAACTCTCTTCATGTGACGTGCGTAAACTTGATAAGCGGATTTAAAGCCACTTTCCACAGCTCCTTGAATCCAGCCAGCCGTAAATGATATGTTATCGCCAGCAAAATGCACATTACCCATTGGTTCCCACAAATATCTGTATAAGTTATAAGGAAAAGAGTTATGCCGGAGACGCCAAATCGTTTCAGTTTGCTTTTTCGCCATGGCAGCATGCTGTCTCACAAAAACAGTATCATGTAGTTTAACACGTTTGAGTTAGAGCAGTAAGTATATAAACCGAAGTATTGACTTTATTGGCGAGAATTAATCCTGGGATAAAACAATACGACACATAATCTTAAAATTTATTGAATTGAACCGTCAATTTATTGATCGATCTTTCAGAGTATATAAAATAATTCTTACCACTTGAAATGTTCAGAGTATATAAAATAATTCTTACCACTTGAAATGTGCATGGAATTAATCCTATGTAATATTTTCACGACTACAACGCACCTGACATTGTTGAATTGAGTGGTCTTCAAGAGTCCATAGGCACCTTGATAAGAGGGTTGGTTGTACCAAGCATGGACAATACATTTTTCAACTGCTCCTTCTTCTTTGATCTCAGGGTGAATTTCTCCAACTTGCTCAATTGCCTCCTTCTTTGCCTGCTCTTTGGTCAGGGAACCAAAAAGCAGTGCTTCATTTTTCCAGGTGTAAATCAGAATTATTCCTTGCTTGGTGGACGCGAGATAGTCAGGATCCGGCTTCACGTAATGTATTTGACCGATGGGTAGGTTGGTCTTTGAAAAGCCACCTTTGATGCCGTACTTCTCCTCTTCCCAGAATCTGGTCTTGGTTTGCAGGATAATCTTTGTGGAAGGTGCTGTGAACATGTCTTCAATGGCTTGATGATTCTTTCTGAGGGCCTCCCTGTCTTGCTGGGTTGGTTGAATTGGCTCGAAAGTAATTTGCCGCAATATGTTGACTTGAGTGGTAAGGATAACAGCCTATACATCAAGAAATTGCTAATGATAAAACATCAACATGTATCTGTTTTAAAACTACGTTTTTTAAAGCTGAAGTGTCCGGCAGAGTAAAATTGTCTTCTTGCCCAGTTGGGACAGGAAAAAATTCTGTTTAGAATTTTTCCATTGCTTAAGCGAAAAAGTTTGCGCTGTTTTCAAGGGAAACAGCGCCATCTTATATTATTTTCAGCGTTTCATCATATGATTTATGCCGTTTTTGAACCAATACTTCTTAATTCTTGTTTGGTTTCCCCCTCCTGCCCTAAATTTGGTAATTATTAAAATCAGATGGGACTGTCTGGTCACATCCGACCGCGGATCAGGTGATGTACCAGTTCTGGTCACACTGGGGTTAAAATTGTTATTTTCATATATGAAAGACGAACATTTCATTACCGGTGATCGCGCTTCCAGGCTGCAGAGTATTAGGTAAAATAATTATTACAAACGTGTAGAATTGGAAAAAAACACTTCTCGAAGTTTAGACAAGATTAACGGTGGCTCCATATAGAGTTTTGGAAATACATGGTGAAATCATGATGTTATACTTACACGTCACTATCGTGTTTGATTTCCTGCTAAATATTTCCAATTTCATGCCCAATTTCATCCCCAACTGCTTGGCATGTGGCAGTTGACACAATGTGTGATATGTGTGTAATCCTAATCAATGAAATCAGTAGCGTAGCTAGCCTGAAGATTTAGTCTCGTTTGTTATTTTTGGTGTTCAACTACTGTGAGATCAATTAATTTTAAAGAAATAAGTATTTATAATAGCTTTAAAATTTATAGTAGAACGAAATCGTCAGGCTGGCTAGGCCACTGAATCACTTACCCGTGCTGTGTAATGAGTTTCTGCTGCCGGTGGATTTGCATAGCAGTAAACTTTGACATAATCGCCGTTTGGCTGAGAAGGTGACGAATAATAACGAATCTTGTAAACTTGTTTCTTAATTTCGATATCGTTAGTGGTTAACGGGTGTTCTTTGCACTTGAAGAAAGCTTCTGGTAAACTGTGCATGCCACCCACTAGGGTATGCATATCAGCTGACCACCAGTTTCCCAGCTGATCGCGAAGATACTCGACCAATGACTGGTCCAGCTGTTGTGTATACGTAAATACAGAGTATCCACGAACTGCATCGTTGGACCAGGGCAAAAGTTTCCCAAGCATCGTGACATCCAAATTATCTTTATCATCATTTGTTAATTTAGCACAAATAACTTCTTTACTGCTCTCCAGAAAGCTTTCCAATGTAAACTGGCTCCAAATGTTGATCCAACGCTCCCACACTTTGATTTCCTGGTCTATGGTGGTCGTATTTTTCAACCAGGCAATCAATTGATTTGTGACAACACCCGTTGTTTTTTTGTAATAATCATCTAAATATATATTTAAAATCATATATAGTTAATTTACACTTTTTTCAATTGATTTCTTCAACTTTGAACAACGAATTTACTCTTTCTATACATAGGCTTAGGCAATCCGCATCATGCAACTGTAAAATGGACCGAAAAAAAACTTCGCCTCCAACCTTGCAATTGCTAGTTGCGATTTAGTAGTCTTATTAAACACTTTATTTAGATGTACATTATGTCAGAAACATATACAATACCGATATCGTTGATGTGGATGCCACTAATCCCTTTTCTCCAATCTGGCCAAACAGTGGCAAAATGGTTGCGTTCCCAAACTAAGGAAGAAATTGAAGAACATCAGTTACAGAGTTTATCGTAAAACAGCTGAAAATAGTTGCGATTTTGGGAATTGCCAGAATTTCCTTGTTCTGCAGGCCAATGACAAAGTTAACTCATTCCATTATATGAGAAATTATACATATGAATTGTTTTAATGCAGGAAAATCAAGGTCAACATGCTATGCATAACTAAAGCGGATTTTTTCAAATAAGAAAATCAAATCCTGCACTTAGAGGAAAAAAAGCAGCGAAAAAAAAGACGCGCTGTGAGGCGTGTTGGGAAGAAATAGTAATAGTTCGCTACCGAAACATTTAGGGCGCATGAGATCTTTAAGTAATGTTTACACGAGTGGCCGGTGTTGTATTGAATATAATATTTATGTGATATGAGTTTGTAATGCATAAGATTTGAATAGATATGCAAATCAGTTACAAAAACAAGTGGTTGTATTTTTCCGATACAACCTCTAATGTTTTTAACTTATTTGCATATCTATTCAAACGATAATTTGTACAGGTATACAGGGCGTGCGTGTGATCTAATTCACGAAATTTGGTTGCGTATAAACTATTCAATTATTCATGAATTTAACAATATCACATACACCGTGATTGCTCCTTCAGCCCCCTGCGCTATTAAATTAACTAGTATTCAAATTGGGCATTAAAGCATATAAATTATAGAGTTACTCTGGAGTTACGCTGGTTATTATGGAATAGGAAATAATGATGGGACTATATTTTATCGATGGGAAAAGATCGTTAGCTCGGGAGCAATGTTCATATAATATCCATGTTAGCAGAGCGTAGAAGCAATAATTTTCAAAAGGAACCAATAATCCTGAACGTGAATAATATTATACAAATATTAGCATTAAATTTAACATAGTATTTTGGTTAATGTGCTTCTGGACCACTGTTCGTTTTAAAATATTAGAAAATATTACTTCTTCCGGTCAGGAAAATATTTATGCAAAAAGAGATTCAACTTTGTTATTATGCGATCAAAAAATAGATATAAAGATTTGCTTTAACACAGCGTTAAATGAAGAAATAAGATATTTAAAAGGATATCTGCATGGCGGCCCAAAATAAACGGAAGAAGTGAAAAAAATTGTTGCGCTATTAAATATTCCATTTAGTGTGTATTAAAGCATGTAAGAGTAAACATTTATTTAAGATGTATAATATCACATACGGTTTGATTGCTCCTTCAGCCCGTAAATATAGGAAAGGCCTTTTTCATCGTAATTTGGAAACGCTTTCGTCTTTAATTTAAATTTATTTATATACCCATCGGTCATGAAATGGGTTTTAGTGGCAGACGAGCCAACACCATCAGGCAATCTCATCGCTCCGCCTGAAAATTCAAAAGGATGCATATCAAAAATTTAAAGTGACGCAGATTATAAGGATTTATATGAATAAAACGTTTATGATACAGGTAAAGGCCTGCAGTTTTTTGACAGAAAATAAGGAGGAACAATAAACTGTGTTTAACGGCATGGTCGAAAATACTAAGAGTATAGAAACAATTCAACTTGAAATTAATGTTTGTTGGTAATTATAGCAATTTATTTCTAGAAATTTTGCTTCAGTGGGCTAACCTTCGCCAAATAGACCAGGTGCAAGGCCTGCATCTTTTCCATAAGTGAAAACTCTTCCACCATAACGCTCAGTCTGCTCCAGGATTTTCACTTTTAGCCCTACCCTCTTCAACTCATACGCTGCAGAAAGACCAGACATACCAGCTCCAACAATAACGACGTCATATTCAATTACGGGGGTTTGGTTCGACGCCATTTTTGTTGTTGGAGGGGCTGGGCTAGGTTCTTTGTCGCCGTAGTGAATATAGGCTTCGTGCAAGTTATCATGAAGGATTTTTAGCATGAACTTTTTTAAATAATTACTCTGCTGAATGATTGGTGGGTGTTGGTCTTTCATTCTTTCCTTGAACGGTTTCACATCTTTCAAAAGGTGCATATTTGCAGAAAGAAAGTTTGATGCCATGGTACTAGAAAAAATGAAGTATAGACTCCTTACATCGAAAATTAGCAAGTGAATCATACACGGCGGAAGGCTAATATTTACATATCCACTCACATTCAGCACTTGTATAGCTCCTTTTGAAAGTGATTGTTTTCAAGGCCGTAGCTAGAAACTTAATTGTGGGGGGGGGTGTATATTCATATATTCATCTTATGCCTGAATGATTTCTTTTGTACGCTATTGTTGCTATGATATGAGTGTAAACATGAATATTTAACAGTTATTCTGCGAACACGAGTCCTATATGTGCTGATAACACAACTTTCAAATTTATTCGTAATTCATTCAATAGTGATTAGACTTTTTGTAAAATAATTGAACAATTATCCAGTATTGAACATTTTATTACAGAAAGGCAGAAACAACCGTCCTTTCGGTGCACTTTGGTGTATTTTTATGAAGGAAAACTTGAATATCATCTTCGCTTAACCCCCCAAATCTTGCCACAATTTTGTTTACGGTTCTCTACTAAACAGATAATTATGAGCAAATATCGGTCTAATACAGGGTGTCTCTCGAGGGCGGCGTTTATTCAAGGGAGGCGTTTATTGCAAACTCGTAACAACTCTGAATTTATTGTGTAATTTAAACGCCAATTTAACCAATACAATCTAGTGGTAACGGCAAAATTCTCTGCTGTTACCACGGAATTACGCATCGCAGAAGTTTTGGAGAGAGAGCTAAGCAGCAAAGCTATGAAGTATAGCCACTTTGAACTTAATAACATTCAAATTGAGAAAAATAAATTTCCACGACTGCTTTAGATTCAATTTTGTCCTTTTTTTGTAAAGATAGATACTTGAATTTCTTACAGTGGTTATAAATAAATGCTTCGAATAAACGCCGCAATTACGAAAAGGTTGCGGCGTTTATTTGAGGGCGGCGTTTAATGATATTTTTGCTTGTCCCTGCGGCGTTAATTTGAGGGCGGCGTTTATTCGAGGGAGGCGTTTATTCGAGTAATTACGGTAATCCTTCATTTAAAATGCTGAAAGTCATTTTAGCTGAACTATGGCGCAAACCCGAACAATATTAATATTCTTGCATATTTAAGTATTTGCGTTTTTTTAGACACCCTGAAGACAGCCAATCAGATTGCACATTAGCTTATATCCAGCGGTTGTGTATATAATAAATGAAAACAATCCGCGAATTAAGCGGTCTAGCTACGGCTTTTTTATATCAATACCCTCCCCCCAACATACACTTAACGATCTTCTGCCATAATTTTAAAAATGAGCTGGACGGCTCTTGATGGTACAAGCTACTTTATGAAACTGCACGTAAAGATAGTGTAAGGTTTAGCAGTAAAGATCTATTCAATATGATTGACGTTTTGTGATTTGTGTTTTTTGTAACAACAGTGAACAGTGTTTATGATTCATTCTTTTGAAAATCAATTCTTACATCTGATTGTGTTTAATTTGACTGTCATCCAATGGCAAGGCCTGTGGGTAGTGTCGCAGCTCCTCGCAAGAATGATTTTCATTGGCTGAACTTTACAATACATTTCTGTTTCAACTAATAGCATATAGCTTCGTTCTTTAGAAAGCATAGAAAAGCATTATACAATTGGATGAAAGCTTCCGAGAGCTGCGACTTGTCCCAGGCTTGTTCGTATAGATAAGTACCAAGCAGTTTCAGTGAGTCAGAATAATATATAAAATTACGTACTTGGCCTAATCCAAATTACCTTAAATAACAACGCGATTTGCTATTCATTTCCATAGAAGATTTTAAAAAATTATCTACCAATATTTATATTGTTGCAAATTAGATAGTAATTTATTCTGACTAACCCTGGATACAGCAGTGAGCGAAGGTCACAAGATCAGTATTGGATTTGTGCGGCAAGATGACAACAAAGAAGTTCTACCTGCATGTTATTGAATAGCCAGATTTAAAACAGCTTTCTTTTATAATTGACTACCATCACCGCACAATTATTGGAAAAGCAACATTCGACCTAGGCCTTGAGTGTTCGGTACTGCAATAATGTTTTAAACGTTGAACAGCTGCTCACGCTGGGAGAGTGTATATGAACCGTCGGCTTTGTGTTAATACAGCAGGTGTCTTGAATTTAAAATTATGCTGCGCAATTTATTGTGCGCGCCACTAGATCCACCACCGTTAAATTCCGAATATAATAGAAATGTTTGCATTTGATTCATTTTATTTATATTAAATTTGACTTTATTTTACTATATAGTGTCTTAAATGAGAGCAGTGCGCAAGTGTCATAAGAAAGTGAGTTTGGACGTGGTGCGTAATATAGAATAATTGACGCATTGTCAAAACTGCATCCGAACTGATATTATCTCTATGCCCAATAATGCCACGAAACTCGAACCATGCTATAAATACATTACGGAATTCACGAGGGAAGAACAAGAAAAAATCCTCAGTCGTCGAATACAGATCTTGAATAGGAAGCGATCATCCTGGTTTGAGCCACATCGACATTAGAAATGAAGTAAACAAAAAGAGCAATTTTAGGAGAGCAAAACAAAACGTCAGATGCATGAACCATTTTTTCCGGTATCGAAGTTTCCTGCATTAATGCACAAAGGAGTTGGTTTCAAATACAGTAAATTTGAAAGTTTTTTGGGGGAGGTTTTCATAAAAATATGTCAAATTACATTACACCAGACAAAATATACATTATCCGCAATTTAACATGCCTTGTCTTCTAGGCTTAATTGCGGAATTGTACATGTTGCGGAATTATCTTTCTAGATCTAGTGTTCCCAGCAAAATATTTCATGAAACTGCTGTTGTGTTTTTAATGCAACCTGTATTTCATAGCATTTATTCTTTTCAGACACCCCTGGAGTGAAGACAACGAAATTCAGTGAAGCATTAGAAGTGTCGGTCTTGCTCCTTCATCTGGCACGAAAACATTTCAAACAAAAGCTTGACCTGTCTCTGTATAATAAATTAGCTGCATGTATATGATATCATGCAAGTAAATTTCGCGTATATGGCCAACACCCCAGTATTATAACACCCCATATAGCAGCTACCGTGTTTATTGCATGTAGTGTTAACCTCATTGTTACCGTATTTAACCATGGGGTAACCCTTATATATGTAATAAACACAAATTATCTACTGCAAAAGTGTTCAGCTTGGTTTATATACACAGCGAGTTATAAGCGGCACCGAACTTATATTGCTTCCCATTAAAAAGTGCGAATCGAGCAAGGACGCATATTTGTGTGCATGAGAATGGTCAAACGATAAACAACTCCACGCAAGTAGTCGGTCAAACGAGGTACAAGCAAGCACAAGCAAAATTTGCGATGGACTTGCGTCCTCGTTTGATCCGGGCTTAACTGTAAGCAGCTGATTCAGAAGTTTTACAAGAAATGGCATAACAACGAATTCAAATGAGAATTTGAGACATGGAACAAGATGATGAAACATAAGTTTTGCCATAAAAATTATAGTTTCTGCATGCCGTTGTTCTACACGTTCCATCATGTAGCCCATATCATACTTATATATATTCGACGATATTCGTGATGCTTGTATTATACGCTATGGAGGACATTCATGCAAGATATTACTATGTTTCACAATTTATCCAGGAGAAATAAAAGGGCATACCTGAAAATTTTCTGCGGTCGAATATAGGTTCACCAGTTCTTCAAGTTACCTTCTTCAAGATTGAAGTTGAAATGAATCATATGAATGAATCCAACATTGATATATATGTATGACGATGTATCACGATGAATGACGATATATAACGATGTACGACGATGTATGACGATATGCATGGAACGTTGTTTGCTTGAATGATTTCTTCGGTTATTATTAACATGACGAAATTTACTGGACGCTGATTGGTCGAGTGAAGTATAGTTATTTCATGAACTATGTAACGCGCAGTACAATTAATGATTAATCTAATATAAAATATAGCGGAAGTTATTCCGGCGCATCAAACTGAACAGTCATGAATAAACTAAAATAACCAGAAATTAAGACAAACTTTTATCATTCCATAATAATGAACGTCAAATTCTCATGGGATATTCTTTGTAGATGCAGTTAGGGATTTACAATACTCATAATGTTTGAACATTTTGCCAAGTTGGACCGGCGACTCGTCCAATTTATGGCAAAATTTTCAAACACCACTCGTAGTATTAACCCGAGTTGCACTCGCCATCGCCTGACTACCTATGCTAATTACATTTCAGCCACATCCTGTAGCGACACCTATACTGGGTGGGTAAAAAAAAACCGGACACCTTTGAAATTCAAATCAGTCGCATAGTGGCTTTCAGTAATGTGACAGAAGTTGCTTAAGATATTTCATAGGTATACGAAGCATATCATATTAATTAACCTAAAACATAAAGTTTGTTCCCATTGGGAGTTAAAATGCATTCTAAGCTCTCTAAATACAAAATCATATTTCACGCTTTTCTGCCATCTGTTTGGCTACGAGAGCGGGCCGTATTAGGCCGTACGGACCGCGCGAAGTTTAAACCCCCAGCGACGAAAACACTTAACTCAATGAAAATTTTATCTATCTAACTATCTTTGTATAAAAAATAAGCTGATTAATCAAATAAATTACGTACATAACACATATTATGTTGTTATTTTAGAATACATATTCCATATATGTAATAAAACATGAACTATATACTGCAGGGACTTTTTAAGGAGTACAATTAATCTATAAGCTGAAAGGCCTGCACCGAACATAGCGATTCGCAATTAGTATAAATAACTGAATATTTTCTAAGAGGTTTAACAGCAGCTTAGTCTTCCCTCTTGGAAGGTTATATTTCATCAGGATTAATCAACGTATATGGACATCCGGTCTAAGGCTAAGCTCCTCCTACTCACGTAATAAAGCAGTTATTTTGCGCTCGTGATATCAGTCTATATTTTGATCTCGAAGAAGAGCTACTGGTACAAAGCTAACCACACTGTATAGTATAGTATATATTGTACAACGGCTGAAATTTCAGGTATGTGTTTAATTTTTTCCGCATACATGTTGTTATGATTTAGATGTTCACCAGGGCATTAAGAGGATATACATGCCTGTATTCATTCTATTCTAGTGTATTGCACGAGTTAACGAACTTAAAAACCGTACGGTCTGTGTATACGTGCTGCAAAGGCATGCAATAACACAAATATCCTATATATGGTAATCAAATCACACAATTCATTTCTGGTTTACTCAAAAAGGGAATGCACTATCATTTCACTTACCTGACCTGAACGGTCAAACGGCGGTTTGATATCGTATTTTAATACAGGGTGGGGACTTAATACAGGGATGTGTCTTGGCGAATCACAGCTTTTAAATAATAACTGATATTTCAATTACTCCTACCGCAAAAAAGCAAGTATTACCGTGAAATTGTTAAACAAAATGTATTCTCAATAAAACTTGGGACGCGGCCACAGGCACAGGTACAGTCTCACGCAGCAACGACGACAGCTGGAAATCTATAACCAGTAATCCGCATTCCACCTTATTATGATTGTACTATCACTATCAGAGGAAAACATGTGGTATAATCAGCAACTCGGTTCACGGTCACGTTTGAAGAGAAAATCAAGCTAAAATATTCGTTCCATCGAAAAATTCAGCCTAGTGGAAAACTGCCTTTAGGTCATTGTTAAGCCCGTTTTCTACTAGCAATATTTTTTGACTTTATTCTTTTGTATTTGAGCAATTTGTTTCACATGATTGCAGCTGACAGCTCTGAAACAAAATTGGTGAATTTAAGATGCACCAAATCTACGATGCGAACGTCAAGTAATACTGCTCTAATTTCCCCTTGTTTTCCCAACAGGGTTGGAAATTATAGACTCGTTTTGATAAAAAGAATGAGAGCCGTATGGGAAACAAATTAATAGAGCGTTTAGTTTTCCCAACACTAGTAGCAATTTTCATGTCAAGTCCGCGTCGCAGATTTTGCGCATCTTAACAGTCAGTCAGCATTAGCAGTCACTACGAGTACAAGATTCGTCATTCTCGTGCGTTGTTTGCTTACGCCATCAGCTAAAACTCGTTGTTGTTGGGCTTTCGAGTACAAAATTTACCAACAAACTCGTACTCAATAGAGAGCTTTACATTTGACTACGGCTCCCGTTACGGCTACGAGATTCGTCACTGTGGCGCGAAACAAACGTTGTATGCATACGCCAACTCGTACTGGCATGATAAAACTCTGCAATGCATGTTTATCCTGTCAAATATTTCGGAAATTTTACGCCTACTATTTCGAAAAAAACACATAATCAAAGGCCACGGTCACGCTCTCTAATGACCAGGCGACTACGAGTTTTGGCTGATGGCGTGAGCAAACAACGCGCGAGAATGCATGACAAATATCGTAATCGAAGTCGCTGCTAAACCTCCCGATTATCACTTGGGGGAAACCGACCTTATGCCTGCGAAACCTGCTAGCTATATCTTATTATTTTCGCTCAAATTATCAGTCCCTTGACTGAGTTGTGACCGGTCACGGGAATCTGCTACGATCGAATTCTGACAATTAATTGAAAAGAAGATCAGGCAAAATAGCTTCGTTTAATTGAAAAATTCGCAAATGAGTGGAAATATATGCTGGCAACGAGAGAAGGAATCCTGAATTTCTGAATATGAGATTTCATTTTGAAAATGTACATAATGCATAAGTGTCTAAGGCCGGTTTACATTGGGGTTTAGTATAATATTATAGCGCTCAAGCATATACAACAATGGGATATTAAAGTCTAAACTGATGTAGTGTCACTTTTTTGACACTTTACAGTTCGCACCCTGTATATCTTTAAATTCTGCTTTAATTTGTTTGTGCAGTGTTATTTACCGAAGATAAATCGCTTCTTTCGTTGTTTACATTGGCTTTTGCGTAATGCTACACAATTGTGTGTGCGGTTTACTTACTTAAATTTAGTTTCCGTTTGTGATTTGTCTTTAGATGTTATTAACGCGGCAAGCATAATACATATTGACGCTTCGGACATGTAAGGTTAAATGGGGTTATGCAACAACCAAGGTTGACAGCGAGGCGGTTTAGTGACGTCCGGTCGTGACGTCAGGCGAACCACGTGACCGAAGGGGAGGGGCGAGTGGCAAATTGCGGGGCAGAGCCTGCAGAGGGCATTAACAACCCATTTGTGAACGAGTGATAACGTCGACAGCAGCAGCTTGTCACAAAGTGCTATTAGTAAATAGTATTTTTTTTCTCCTTTGCTTACTCCTGTCAGGTTTGTTTGTCTTTTCCACCAACGTTGGTGTGAAAGGTTAGCTCTCGGCAGTGGGGGGTGTTCAGCTTCAGATGCCGTAGAGGTCTCAACCTGGCTTCAAGTAACAGTACTCGTTCCAAGCCATCCCCGCGCGAACGACAGAGCTAACACCAGACCATGCAATCGGGTAGTAAGGTGGACGAAGGTGTTAATAGGATGATTTTCACCAAATTGTTGTTGAGCTTCAGCGAGAAACACACTATTTTTGACGTTACATGAAGTTCTGAGCCTTCCCGTGCCCAGTCATCTGCCCGAGCTATGTAAAGTCGACAAAATCTCGATTTGTCGAATTTTGCGATAATTGCTTGTCTGTGTCACAAACCGGGGGGGGAGAGCTGATGGGGGTCCTCGTGAAATATCGACAAGTCTCGGGTCCACAAAACATAATGTTTCCGTCGGTCGCAGTAAATAAGTGTTAGATAGTCATTACTAGTCACTGTCGCGATGAACAGACGTTTAGTTCGAAATAAACAGACAACTATGGTGTTCAGGCGTTTAAGTTCGGAATAAACATGATGCCGTGATGTTAGATAAGGGTCGCCGGAAACAAGAGTGAACAGATATTTAGTTCGGAAATCGGAATAAAGTCATAAACAGCCAACTATGACGTTCAGACATATATTCGCGACGTGTTGTGTCAACGGCGCCATGCCGAGAAACAAGAGTGAACAGATATTTAGTTCGGAATGAGGTCATAACAGATCAGACATATATTCACGGTGCAGTATAGTCAGGTTCACGAGAGTCAAGAATAAACAGACGTGTAGTTCGAACTTGTGGGTATAAGGTCGTTAACCTAATATCTAAATGTCTCCAATTTTCCAATGTACCAAACTTGGCAAAGTTTAATAAACGTGGTGAAATTTGTGATGAACAATTTGGTACTCTAAAACCCATCACATCACATTTTGACAGGACACATGCTTTGCCAAAGACCCACAAGAAATTTGACACAGCTCTACCTAAATTCCGATCTTAAACACATGCAAAGTTTCAGAGCTGTCTATATAACATGGCGGATCGAAGGTGACATTTCTGCAAGAAGCAAAACCTCTATCGCTACCTATAATTAATCTTAGCATTTAAACTGTTATTTGCCACAATGTGGAGCATTATCATTGTAAATAAACTATAATTTGCTTTCAATTACTCTTATCTCTGTCTTGCTGTACACTAGTTATGACTTTACAGAGGCGCTGTGTTTTTTTAAGGAATTTTCACTGGCGGGGGGAGGGGGGGTGGGGTTAGCAGGAAAACGAGGAAAAAATTTTAGGAAAAAATTAGGAAAAAAATTTAGCTACAAAATCTCTTTTTTTATATGTTTCAAGACATGGCCTTGCACTGCGTGGTCGAAAAGCCGGAATCTGCCACAAAACCGT